TCCTGCTGTCTATGAACTTTACTGACGGTTTCAGTGGCATTACAATTTGTAATACTTCATCTTAAGCTCTCCCATTGTATTATAAGCATAACCTCAGTATGTGGTTATTGAAAATAATTAAGCACATGAATCTTTGCATTAGACTCTTTAAAAGCAATAATACTGGTTAGCAGTTTGAGCACTGGTTTGCATGTCTGAAGACTAGCCAGCTTTCTGTTCAAAATTATTTCAGTATTTTTTCTCTAATTCTGAGCAAATCGCTGAGTGTCCTTCTGCCTTCATTCCTCAACCGTAAAATTTGTGATATGGATATGAATGGTCTGTGAGATCCTAGGCACAAGAATCTTCTAGGAAATTTGCTATCATTCCCTTAGTAGTTTAACTGCTCTGGGAAACTTTAGCACAAATGACAAGATACTATAAAAGGAGTACTGTACCTATGTAAGGATTTGGTTAACTCCTTCATCGTATAATATACTGCTACTGCTATCAAGCATACACATCTTTTCCAGATAATGGTAATTATGTGCAAGCATCTCACAGAGATTTAGACTTCAGTTTGTAAATCACTGTTCCCTCCAGCAAAGAGATCTGTGAGATGAAATTGCCTCTTATAGTCACACGCACCCTCCTGTTTCACTGGCATTTACCATCTTTGGTTAACCAAGGCCGGGATAATAAAAATGTCACTTTTGTACAAAGCTGCTTTCCTTTTGGACAGGCTACTGCAAAAGGAGATGTGAGTCAGTGTATTATCAACCTTGCAAAGAGGCTTTTTATCAGACTTGCTCTTGCCCAGCTTTTGCCCAGATGACAGTCTCGGGGCAGGTGGTGACATTTAGGGCTCTTAGATTTGATGAAGAAGAGTCAAGGTGGGGTTAGCTAAGTACCTTCAGGAAGCATTGTTTTGCAGAGCTGTCTACAAGCCCTGCCTGACAGAGCTGATGTACCTCCTGATAGCTCCAAGTCTTCAAGACAGAAATTTGTTGAAGACATCGCAGAAGGTAAAACAAGAAAAGTTTGCAAGAGACACTTTCACCTGATGGTGACTTTTTCAATTTAAATAACTGCTGATCTCGCTTAAGTACATGCAAGTTTCAGTGCGGATAGGATTTGCTTCTGGAGAGCTCTAAACTGGCAGGCAGGAGGATTTTGAAGACATGAATTTGTCATTAAGTTTGTGTAAAAGAATACTCCTTTTTGTTTGTTTCAAACCTGATGCCCGTGTTTTCTTGCATTATGAGAATAAATGAGCAACTGTTCTTTAGTAAACTTGCCCCTCTCCCCAAAATAGAACAAATTAAAGTAGTAGCAGGCAAAGAGAACAAAAGCATTGATGGCTGAACACTGAGTGCTAGTGCATAGAGGAAGAAGAAATATTAGGAAAAGATGGCCTTTGACAATCTGGAGATAAACAGCTATTAGATAAGCACTGACTGACAGGCAGGGCTTTGATTTCCCTGGGAAAGGCATCTTTCCCACTATCCTTTTATTTACTGCCTGTGCACAACTGAGACTGAACAGTCAACAATGCCAACAGGAGATTACCTTTCGAGGCATACATATGCACGCGAGAAAAAGAGAGGCACGTAGGTTTTGTGCAAATCATGTCATGCTTCAGTGTTCTGACTTATGAATAGAGATTGTGGTGGCTGCCTCTTTGTGCAAATCATGTCATGCTTCAGTGTTCTGACTTATGAATAGAGATTGTGGTGGCTGCCTCAAGAGGCAAAAGAGTTACGCTATTCAAAACCAGAGCAAAACATTTAAGGAAACTGCAGAAGAAAGGAGACTTGTGGCATTTCACTAACAAACATGTGGTTCAAAAGCTCCCTCATCCAAATAATTGCTTTTCAAAGTGCAATCTCACTCAGCCCTGAAGTAGGAAGATGCCTCTCATGTCCTCTTTGAGTTTTCATTAAGTGGCAGCACTGCTTTTCTAGCATGCTGACAGGAATGATTTTACAAGGGAGTTCCTCTGGGGCTAGAGGAGACACCCACCCACCAGAACACAAAACCGAGTGACTGATGATTAACTAGGCAGCTACGAAGGAAGCAGGATGACTTTGTGCCAGAGCTGGGCTGATGACGGCGCCTGTCTGCTTAGAGTTCATTAGGCTCAGAAATACTGAAACAGAAGTTGTCCAGTCTTTCAAAAGAAAATACCTTGTAAGAAAATATCTCTGGGTAGGAAGTCAATATGACACAAAGA